GACACGCACCGGCACCCACGCAGAGACACAGACACGCGTGCACACGCACCCGCCCCGTCTCTGCGGGGCTGCTGGGCCACGGGAAACGGTTCTCCCTGGGCTCCTGGGCTCCTGATTATTAATCGGTGCAGCCTGCCGTCCAGCCCTCCCCCCCTAATTTTTTAAACTCCCTTTTTATTGTGTGCAAACTCAGAACTCCCGTTCGCATGGTACGGGCTTTTTTTTTTTTTTTTTTTTTTTTTTTTTTTTTAAGGGTTGTTTAGGCTCTCGGCTTCCTCGCACATTAAAACGATGGTACGCAGCGTCTGGATTAAAACATATTGTCTAATTTGCCTTGTCATCCCAGCTGACAGAAGGGAGGTGGTAGGATGTGCCCGCAGTTTCTTAGATTATTTTGCTTTTAAAGGTAGGAGTAAGTACAATTTACAAGTGGAAGATCAGTTTGCTAACTTCTGAGACTGAGAAAAGGAGAGCACAGAAGTAACAATCGCTTGGGGTGCTGGTGGGTATTAAGACCCCTTCCAGATCTTGTATATTGTCTCGTTTTACTTTCTTACTTAAAACGTAGTATTTCAGTTAGCAGTTTCTAATCGAGGCTTGCTCCTTCAACATTTCAAGATGTAAACCTGAGGGGGGAAAAAAAGCCAGAGATTGGCTTTTCCCAAAATAATCACACACATTGAGTCACCCGTTTTATTTATACTCCAACGGCGTTGAACCCCCCTCCCCGGTATTGTTTATTATAGAAAACAGGAGGACACCGCCAAGGGGAGGAAATGCTGCCTTTCGTACCACAACAAAGCGTGAGACACTGGAAACCAGCACCACAGCCTTAAACACAGACAAAACAAAGTCGTCCAAACCAGTACTATGCAAGAAAAACATTATTTAGACCAAACACTCAGCAGGATTTTTTTTTGAATAGTCCTCCATTTTTCCCACTGTGATCATTAGTCCCTTGGTTCAAAAACTTTCTCAGCCTCTCTTACTCCCTTCTCTGTGAACTTTTTTCCCCGTCTTCCAGCGCAACAGTAAATCGTTACAGGTATTTTGGAAACAAAACGTGTCACTTCCTCAAGAAAAACTCGAAAATCCCCCAACAACTTTAAGAAGGACCAAATCTTCACAGCCTTTGGGTCCTTCTCCTGCAATAAAACGGAGGAACCTTGCCCCCCGCCCCCCCAAACAGGACAAAGGGACATATGAAGCTTAAATGGCTTCCTTTTGGATTTTTTTATTCACCTTTTCCCCTCCTCCTCTAGACAGAATCGAAGTAAAAAAATGGCTTTAAATTGATTTCTAGTTTTGAAGAATTTCTGAATGAAGGATGGATTATTTTTTTCTCTATAAAAAAAAGCAGAAATAAGGGTTGCTGGCTTAGTTCTCTAAAGGAGAAGAAAGAGGGGAAGAAAGTTCCCCCTAACTGCATCTTCTTTTAAAATATCTATCCATACAGGAACTCAGCACATTTTAATTTCCCAGTCCCCTAAACCCAAAACCAGATTTTATTGTGGTGGATGAGGATTGTTTTGCATAAAAAGCTCAAAGCAATTAATACTATTCATGGGCGTGACTGGGACTAAAATGAACAAATCCGCAAACGCACTCTTGGAACTCGAGTCCTTTATTGTTTTGGTTTTAATTGTATGTTTCCACCTATTAGAAAATATATAGTTGTATTTAGGGCTTGGGGTTTTTTTAAAAAACTAAATAAAGCCAGGGAGTCATCCTTTTGGGATGGGAAAATGCTTCCCCAGAGTGACAAGAGAGGGGGAAACATTCAGAACTCGCTTCCTGCTGCAGCTCGTATATAGAGAATGTTTTTCAGTAACGTGATCCCGTCTCTTCTGTGATATTCCCCAGAAAATAATAATAGAGAGGAAATGCCACAGAACCCCAAATAATACAAAACGTATAAACTCTAAATCTAGACTTCATCACTCACCTCTCCCTCCCCTCCACCCCCACTCGTGCGTGTGTGTCTGTACAGGCACATGTGTGTAATAGGCTGATGTGTTAAAACCCAGTAATTGTCTGCCTGAATCCGTGGACCAGCTCCTGCCTTTAGTCTGGCACAAGCTCTGCGCCTCAGCCCTTCTACCATGAGGTGCACGCATCCCCCCAGCACCCAGGGAGCCCACCCAGCAAAGGGAGGGAGGAGAGGGAGATGGAAGAGTTACACTGGAATACGTATTAAAAAAAAAATAAATTTAAAAATTCATACAAGGGGGGAGGATGAGAAAGACTCCAAGTGCAGGGTGGGGGGGAGGGGATTTGAGAAACAAGGATGTTGCTCTGCCTTGCATTAGCCGAGTAGAGGCTTGCTACTTGTATCTCGAGTCTTTTGACTTCTTCCATGAATAGGAATTAACTCCAGCCTGATGGCTGTTTCATGCCATTACTGTTTCATGGTCATTAGTGGATGCAGCAACACAGTGTTTTAGACTTTAGAAGCTTGGAGGGAGTTTTGGTCTCAGAAATCCTAGTGGGAGTTGTCAGCATCCGATTAAAAGTGCCACGGAAGCTTTCCCGTCAGCTCCTGGCGGAGACCCTGTTCTTCTTTCTCCTTACCCCTTCTTTACTGTGTATTTATGTGCTACATATGGACAGACGCTAGAGATTACACATACACACATAGTCACACGCTGCCCTAGTAGAACTTCCAACATTGTTCTCAAGCCAACTGAGTGCTTCTTAACATCTTTAAGCTCCAACGGAGAGCATGGCAAACTACGCGTTACTACGATTTCCTTCCTCGACAAGAACCTGAGAGTGCTGCTCTCTTCCGTGCCGGCCACGCAGTCTGCTCCCAAGCTCCCAGAGTTTCAGCTTCCCCTCGTGGGCAGAGAAACCTCTGGACTTTAAGAGGCTTACTTTTAGCTTAAGGAACGACAACGTCTCAGAAGGAGCCACCGAAACCAAACATGTTTATGGAGACAGCTGGGGGAGGCACGCTCTGTCCTCAAGAGTCTTCATTTCACGGCGAGCTGGTCACCGCGCCGGGCGCGCAGTCCTAGCGCTGGCGCAGGACTTACGGCGTATTACGTTAAGCAAAATGTCACCTCCTCACTCGCCGCCCGACCCCGCTCCGCT